AGTTATACTTAACAGAGATGTAAATAAGACATGACAATGAAAAGATGGAAGTTATAAATACTTACCAAATTGCTATGAGAATGTAGTGGAAAAGAGATTACCCCAATAGCAAGGATTGAAGGGTTTTAAAATACCATTTTTGTTTCTTGTTTTATCTTCAACATTGACAAAAAATATATACAAAAATATATGACAAAAAATATATAATATAAAATATACATTTTATTCACACTTAGGAATTCTTCACATAAAAAGTTGCTAAAGTAAAGACCATTGACTAAATTTGACATTCTAGTAAGATGAATTTATTTACTCAACAGTCAAGTCAGCAGGATGTCTGTTCATACTCCACTCAGTTCAATAAGCAGGACCCTGCACTTCTCAGGGAGGAGCAAGGAGAAGGAACTGCTCACCTATCGATCAATTTCCAAGAAGCTGTTTAAACCAAGACCCTGCCCAAGTTACTGGACCATATTTTTTTTTTCTTTCTTTCTTTTTTCTTTCTTTTTCCCTTTCTTCTTTCCTTCCCTTCCTCCCTCCCTCCTTCCTTCCTTCCTTCCTTCTTTTCTCTCTCTCTCTCTCTCTCTCTCTCTCTCTCTTTCTTTACTTTTTGGGGGGAGTGGTCCTGGGGACCACTCAGGACCTTCACCTTGAGCCATTCCACCAGCCCTATTTTTGTGAAGGGTTTTTCAAGATAGAGTCTCATGAAGTACTTGCCCAGGCTGGTTTCAAACCATGTTCCTCCTGATCTCTGCCTCCTGAGTAGCTAGGACTACAGGTGTGAGTCACTGGCCATCTTTCTGTATGGTTTCATTGCAGCATCACAGAAGTAGTTTGTCAGATTGAGCACTGTTCGGTCTTCAAAGCACATTCAGTGAGCCACACAGGCCAACAAGTTAGGCAGAATTGTTGGTGCAAAGGTAGCTTAAGAGGTAGAACTGATCCTGGAGATGTCTTGCTTTAAAAATATTCAGTGAAAGAGTTAGCAAAATGCAAAGAAGAAAACTTAACTATATAAAAAGTTAAATGACAGTGTTTTTTAAGTGCTGTGTGTAAATTAGTTAAAATCACAATAAATTACTTGTACTTTTGAAATTGATACTAGATTTATAGCTGGTTTGAAGCTGTATACATATCAATAACAGAGAAAAACATAAATCCAAATTCTCCATCTCTATACCATATGCCACATGAACCATTGGTGTATATTTTTCCAGATATTTTTCTTACACTACAAGTTTAGAAGTATATATTTTATTTTATTCATTTATTTAACCAAAAATCAATAATTGTCCCCAAACTTTTTATTTTCACGTAACACTGTATAGGGATAACTTTCTCATGACAGCCTCACAATTCATGGACTACAATCCAAGTGACAGACATTTAGGTTATTTCTAATTTTTTAATCTTGTAAATGGCAACCTTTTTTAATTGTTGTGCTCTTTTAATTTGTGAAGTGATATGAAGTATCACTTAAAAATTTAAAACATCAGCATAAATCCTTCCAACATAGAATAGAACTCATGAGAAATCAGTTCCAGTTTGGACATCACTGGAGAGGGATGACTTATGAATCACAAAAGATTATTATTATTAGGTGGTTTGCTCACTAAAGTGTCCCATGAGTGTACTGTAAGTGTTCTATAGACCTCTTTCCATGTACTCAATAAATCAAGGGAACTCCAAAAAGAAAAGAAAAGAAACAGAAGAGGACCTGAGGTCAGTATCTTGAATGAACCTAACATCTTACTTTCAAGTGAATGTTTACAATAAAGCTAATTAAAATATCTTCTATCTATATTGAGTCATGAGCCACGCAGGTCTTATTAACTCTTTGAACATTCCTCGGTTGATATTCTGAGTGAGAGTGTGTTTATTATACACTTCTATTCACCAGTGGTCTTGGCTGTGGAAAACTTTAACCTTTGCTGATGAGTGAACTCATCATCATTGCTATCATGTTACAATTTGTGCTCTTATGAGGAAATCGAGCCACCTCTGGACCACCAGGCCCATGTGAGTTGGCCCCCAATAGTGAACAGACTAAACTATACCTTTAGTCCAAGAATATGGAAACTGACAACAAATTATTGCTTGTGGTCTACTTCCAGTTTTCAAGTGCAAACATACTGAAGTTTATTTTAAATTTGAGCCAGTCAGACATTTAGTAATACACTTCAAAGACGAAGTGAAGGTTCCCCATGTTTATTATTTCAATGTGAAAAATCCATACGATAGACCATGTAGTAAAAATTCTCTCGCTCCACAGTGTGGCCTTACATACATACATATATTTGCAAATTAATCCAAAACTCATTGTCATGGTTCCAGTTCCTGTGAAAGATGATTGTGCTCCATCTCTCTTTTAATTTTACAAATATAGTGGCTGACTGCCAGAGCACTTTCAGATAAACGGCCCACCCCATGCATAAAAGGGGCACGGAAGCATGAATGGTCAGAAGCCACAGAATGTTATCTAAATAAGTTAAAGTTATTATGGTCTTCCCTATTAATTAAAAAGAAGCCATCTGTGCAAGGTGAATTTTGGTATGGTACCAATTTTTTTAATGATTGTGGATTGAATTTGCAACTGCTTTCATAGTGAAAGTGTAGCTCAGGGATTCCCTAGGCAAAATGCACTTTTTCTGTCATTCTGTGGTCATTTGACTGAACTTCTAACAAAACACTGGGAAGGATTCTTGTTACCCAATCAGAATTTACACCCAAACTTGAAGGAATTGTCTGTCCAGTACATCCATTTGCCACTCTTTACTGTCGTAACATCTTAAACTTTCTTTCATCTAAACCTTCTCTCCTCTCTCTCTCTCTCAATCTCATACACACACACACACACACACACACACACACACACACACACACACACACCCAGCTCACATTTTGTCAGAACGGTCTCAGTCCAATGCAGCGAGCAAGAATAAACACACAAAAAAAAGAAGGACAACACTGCATAAAGAAACAGCACCCTCAAAGGCATTACCAGCCTCTATGCTCTCTTGAGGCATCTTTATTTTCACTTTGAGTTTTGCTATTTGCAGAATCTTTTTTTTCATTTGGGCAAACAATCTATAAATGTAGGCTTTCAAAATCTTGGAGGGACAGAAACTCAAAAGGTGCTATTCCCTTGGATTTGGCAAGAAAATACACTGACAAGAGGATTTCTTTTTTAATTGTCATTTCTCCCCAACCAGTGCTTTCAGTCCATTAAATTTGTACTGTAGGCCTTTTACAGTTTGAAGCCACCTCGGTGTCTGTGAGGAGCAGTCCTGCTTGTTTGTGCAGTCATTTATTATCTCCATTACCAAGAGGAGAATGGAGGACAATTACATTGTTTGGACGAATCAGAGTGTTAGGAGGAATATTTCTCATGGCGACCGAGCACAGCTCCTGACGGCCACGATTGATGGCTAGGAAAGAGCACGAGTGGCCAGAGCAGCCTCCTAGGATGCAAATTACTGACTGTGGATTCCAATTTACCCTGTTCATTTTTCTTGCCCGTGCTGAAGACCATTAGTGGTTTTTGAAGCAGGGAAGGGTCATTACTAATGTGGGGAGGCTCAGAGCAGGAGGGGGAAGGAGGGAAAAGCCTTCTGTAATTACACAGCTCTCAGGAACAGGCTGGAGGCCCTAGCCAAAAAAGTGTCAACACCTCGCAATCAGAAAAATTTATTTTCATTTTATGCTTAACCCATATTAACTGCCATTATCATCTTTCTTTGTTAACATTTGCAGAATATTAAAAGCCTGGCTTCTATATTAATACAAATCTAGTTAACCCTTTTGCTATACAGGGGATTTTGTTGAACCTGATGGTATTTGAGTTTGCTAATAAGTAATTGTGCATATTTTGGATAATGTACGCTATTATAGAAGATGAAATACCTGAAGAATAAAATCCTAGATGATTGAAAAACATTCACTCTCTCAAATACCAGAAGGCTCTGAATGGAATACTTTGTTGGTCCTAATGTCACTCTTCAATAACATTGATGGGAAATATTTATTACCAAAGGCTTTCTAGTTTATAAACAACTTTGACATGTGGAATAAAAGTTACTTTTCAGTGTAAGAGAACCAGTGAATTTAGAGCACCTACTTACTTAACAGATAGGTTTATGATTACATACCCTTCAGGACAGTGCCTTTTAAAATAAATGTGTGACTAAAATAACAATCCTTGGTTTCAGAATGAGAGAGGAAAGTAGGTTGGTAGTAGAAAACTGTTCATAGTAAATGTGGGTGATTTACAATGGGAAATAAAAATTTTAAAAAATCACTAAAACCTATGGCTTCATTCTCTTATTGCCAAACTTAAAGTTAGCATGTAAAATTTCCATCTGAGGCTTGACATGTGATGGATTCCTTTCGATTTGTGGTCATTGTGTGTGACCCTGTTGCTCCAGAGTACTAACCAGTAACAGAAAGAAAAAAAAAATCATCCGCCATCCCATAGCAGAGTCAACATAAACACACCAGAAGTAAGCTATGTTACCATCAAATCCATTGCCGTGGCTTCCGAAAGACTTGCACTGTCAGTAACCTCAGATTAACAACGAAATGAGAAGTGTAGGGAGCCATCTCGCAAAGATAACAGAGAACCAGGGCTTCACATTTGTTTTCTAGAAAGCAAAGCAAAAATGGGCCTCAAGCTAGTTCCCTTCATCAACTGCCATGAATGTAGATAACCAAAATTCTGATGCCACCCCAAAGTGCCTTACATCCTGACTGATGACAGACACTGAGTAACTTAGACACCTTACTTTCTATTGGTGGCCCTACAGAGTGTGGCAAGAATGGGGCTGTTGACACAGGTTTCTGGATTTGTCCCTGCCTACAGCTTCCCACACTTTACAAGAGATGCAATGAGGAAAATCAAGCCATAGCCTAAAAGAAATCACCAACGGTGGTTTCACTCTTAGAAGTACGTGAGTCTTTCGTAACTTCTGATACATCTTTTAAAACATTTGTTTTTTCATTAGCATCCGTACCCTTCCGAAGAGCAGAAGAAACAGTTAGCGCAAGACACAGGACTTACAATTCTCCAAGTAAACAACTGGTGAGTGACCCAAAAATCAATGTCTTTCTCCCTTGGCTAAAATTACATTTCTAAATAATTGCTTTCTTTCTTTTCTTTTTTGTTTTGTTTCTCAAACAAATGAACTTGAGGATAACTTCTATGCTTGCCCTTGAGGTGTGAAAGTAGGCTTAGGGAGAGGAGATCATAACCATGGTTTTTGTAGGATTTCTTCCTCTTGCTTTCTCTCTCCCTCTTTCCTTTTCCCTTGTCCTTCCTCCCCACCTCGCTTTTCCCAGTTCCAATGCTTTAAAATTCTCAGATGGAATCACAAATTCTGTTTGGGTCATTCCTGCTGAAAACAGTGTGTTTTTGTACAGTCTTCCCTCAGAGTCACCACTTCTGGGACGGCTTCTTTTGTGTAGGCCATTAGGGGTGACGCAGATATAGGCTGTTAGAATTTCCCAATAGAAATTTACTTACCATAATTTTTTTTAATAGGAAAAAAGCTTTTTGCATTTTTAGCTTTGCAATTTGGTGGTATATGGACCATCGCCCTTTGTACGAGGCTTAGAGGGTAACTGAGGAAAAGGAGGGGCCGTGGATTAAATAAAATGACCACAGTGGCCAAGAAATGATATAGGAATTACTTATCAAAATACTGGCCCAGGTTTTATCAGCAGCTTAATTTTGTTCAGTACATTCTTGGGGTGATGTTCAGATTAATTGAACTGACAGTTCTCTTTCAAAATTCAGGGAAAGTATTTGCACGGATTTCAGGCCTTATACAAACTTAATTACATGGAACTCCATTTTATCATTCTAATTCCATGTAGCAGGGGTTGTATTTACAAATGAGAAGTCTCTGCTTTTATTCACAGCTTCCCTTAATATATTTATCAAAGCAGGTTCATTTACAAAGTGCTCTATCTGTGGGATACAGGCAGGCAGACGTTAACAAAGCTTTTAGGTTTATCAGGCTCACTGCCTGGTGAGCTACCCGAGGGTCAATTGATTTTGTGGTTCTGTGATTCATTTTTTTCTCATTTTTCTAGGATCACAATGAGAGACATGCTTGGAGAATTAGCCAGTTTGTCTGCCTTATCTGTCAGGCAATTTTTTTTTTTTCCCAGGGAAGTCAAGCTACTTAAATTGGCCACAGGAACTGTCGTTATCTGACTTTAATGCACCTATAGTGTGGATAGCATTTCAATTATACCAGTAACCAAAGCTTAGCTGTAGCCCTTTCATGCTTGCTTCTGTACAGAAAGTGAAGTGCCTACCTACAGAAGCAGAAAATTGAGTTGCCTTGCTTCTGTCAGAGTGATTAATGCAGAAATAAACTGCTAACCTGAAAGGAAAGGCGGAAAGAAAAGAGAGACAATGCAGACTCGAATTCACTTTCATTTTCTTCTAAAGATCAGAACTGTGTACATTTAAAGATACCCTTTGTAGACCAAAAACTTGGAATACAGGCTGTAATCTCCAGAGGGGGCTGTGTTTGTGATTGTAAAGGGGCCTGAACCTCACGGAGTAAATGTATAGAGTATATGTAAACATATATATGCACACATATTTTCTCACTCAGGTCCCTAGCTGCAGCTTACCAGAGGTCTGAAATAATCACATAAGTGTATTTTGTATTAACTATAGGAGACTGTTCCCTTATCCATTATTTTATAACTGACTATCAAACGGATCTACTGCAATACAGTGGTCCTGGATGTAATAGTGTAGCTTTAGGACCATTGTCTTTGTAAATGTGGGGGAAGTTAGGTGGATATTTTTGAGAGACATTAAATGTTTCTACATCCATGTTGACATTAGCAGTGGATCTTGCTCTGTTTGAGAATGCGTTGTCCATCACCCATTTCCTGCATTTTTGATGTAGTCATTGAACTTGAACAGTGAGGAATTCGTATTTAGTATCTGAAGCCCTATCTGTAAAGACCAGCATTTCTCACTCACACCTGGCTGGTACCTGGAAAAAGTCCCCTGTCTTTTCTGAATTCCTTTGAGCCCCAAGGCGTGTGTGAGGAGTTCAATTGGTGTGATATTTTGGGTTTCTTGTTTCTCTGTTATTCAAGCTGTATTTGTCACACAATGCCAAGGGTTAGGATGTGACAGTCTGTCACAAAGCATACTTTCCATAATATGGTATAAATGTTGACACCTACAAAATAATTCCATCCTCCTAATTTTCACATTTCCTTCTGAAAATTCTGTAATCCTACCCTCAGGCCAAATTCTTAGTTAACGGCTCTATAACTTTGATAATAAAGTGTGACTAATGAGGATGGTACCTCTAAAAGACTACCAAGAAGTTAAAAGAGGCCCAATTTCTGGGGATTTCAGAAAGAAATTTCCAGGAGAACACCCCTACTCCTACTTTGGTACATTTTAAACCTACCCATACCTTGACAAAGTCAACTTCCAAAACAGAGAAAGCTGTGCAGCCTAACTTCAGAAGGCTTCAGAATCACTGTCTTCGGATAACTAAGAGTGATGCAAAGAGTGGACCAGGAACTGTTTCTCCAGGTCCCGAGTTCTCTCGCTCAGAACGCACAGCGCTGGAGATTAGCTTCTGAGCTGTAAACCTCATCCCAGTCAACTACTCTAGGAAATAATAACCACTTCTCTGGCTGAGGCCACGAGTCCAGGTTGTGTGCTGCAAGGTTTATACCCTAAAACTTAGAGTAGTGTAGAAAGTCTGCAAATCAGAACCATCTAAGACTGGCAGGTCCCCTTCAGCTTCTCACCTCTTAAAACAGAAAGGCCAAGCAAGGTCAAGGTGGTTAAGCATCGCTGTAAAAGCACAGCTGTGGCAATAACAGTGAAACATGGCTCCACGAACTTGTGGAGAGCAATAAGCAGTGAAAACAGACCTGCGAAGATCAGTTAGCGCTTATGAACTTTAGAACAAGTAAGTAAGAAGGAAGTTTAGGAATACTTCAGAGAATTAAAGATGTGTTATACCTGAGCAGCCAAGGTTAGACATGGTCTCCACAGACTTTTTCCAGCGTATTCCTGGAGGGAGTGTGCAAGAAGGGATGAGGCAGCCAGATCAAACTGTGATCGCAGGAAAGGAGTGTACGGCCTGAAGTCAGTTTTCGTAGAAGTCCTTAAGTAATCAGTCACTTAATTAAGCCTCTTCTTGTGGAGGCTTGAACTCAGAGCCTTGTGCTTAGTAGGCAAAGTGCACTATCATTTGAACCATAACCCTGCCTCTTTTTTTTTTAATAGGTCTCACTTTTATGCCTCAACTGTCCTGCACATGATCCCCCATTTATGCCTCCTGCCTACCCATGCCACTGCCCTAAGCTTTTATTGGTTGAGATGGGATCTTGCCAACTGTTTGTTGAGGCTGGTCTTGGCCCAGGTTCCTCCTCATCTTTGCCTCCCAAGTAGCTGGGATTATAACCTTGAGTACCCCGCAGGAGCCTTAAAAAAAATTGATAGATAAAGCCAGGCATGGTGGTACATACCTGTAATCTCAGCACTCTGGAGGCTGAAGCAGAAAGATGGTGAGTTCAAGGCCAGCCTGGACTACATCGTGAGACCCTGTCTCAAAAATATATATATTTGACCAGATCTTCAATGTGTGTTCCTCACTGCCAAAGCTAACCACCAGTGGTAAGACTGGCTTTCCGTGCTGGGTATTGGGTGACTGTAAAACAACCAGGGTGCCTGCATTAGGAGAGAATGGTGAGGAAGAGGATGTACTTAACCTGAATCACTTCCTTGCCCTGAGAGACACAAACATGGGCTGATTTCAATGAAGACTGCTCAAAGCTCTAAGGACAAGACAGCAGGGTGGGTAAGCCCTCAGGATCAGGAATCAGGCCTCATAGGGTCAACATCCTGGTCCCCGCATTTCATTGATAGATGCTTGACCTTCAGCAAACTGCTTACCTCTGGTAGCCTTGGTTCTCTCATCTGCAAAATGGAGATATATGATATGATATAGTCATCATATCATATAGTTGACATATCATATGGTCTTACAACAATCATTTAGTTGTAAGATTTTAAGAAACATTCAGGCTAAGCAATTAGCATAATGCTGGCACATGGAGTAGATGGTAGCTATTAAAATAATTGAAAATAAATAATTGTAAAAATGAGAGAGAAACATGATCTCATAAAAATGATATAAATAAATTTGTCATTAAATAGCTTTCAGACTGGAAAGGAGATTTCTTGTGAGGGAAATAGACACATTTAAGGTGAAAATGATTTTGGTATAGACAACTTCTTGTGCATAGCTTCTATAATTAAACAAAGAAAGACTCTTGCAGTTTCTTGTATGATTATTTTTTGTGATTCTTTGATGCTAGAGAGGTAAGATTAGGGAGCCCTGGGTAGGCAGGGAGAGGTAAGTGGCTTCAAATAACTATGAAGGTTAGATTTTAAAGGAATGTCTTGAGCATTGACACTGGTATTGTCCCAGGAGGCATGTTTACATTCATTGACAAAGAGAAAAAAATGATTTTTTAATGAAGAAGTTCTTGCTCGAGTAATTTGCTGAGAAGCATTTGTACATCGTTGAAGTAGTAATCATTGAAATATGGCACTCTTCACTTTGACAATTAAAATCCCTTAAGCTAAAACCACTGTAGGAAAAATCATAAAAAGTTTCCATGTTCAATTCTATATCAGAATTATAATGTTAATCTTAAGGTTCCAATCTCCAGATTAATTTGTTGTTGTTTTGGATTTGCTTGTTTTGTTGTTTTGTTTTGTTTTTTGAGACAGGGTCTCACTATATAGCCCAGGATGGCCTCAAACTCATGATATTCCTGCCTCGGCCTTCTGAGCACACTATCACACCTGGCTTCCAGATTAATTTTTAAAGTAAGAAATACTGTGCTTTTATAACTCATATCATTGGAGTCAACTTATTTACCAACAAAGGAAATTTACAGGAGTGAGCTCTTGACATAGGACAGGTTTACTAGGAATTAGGATTTATTTCTTCATAGAAGGCTATCTCTAGGCCATTGAATAAAAAAGCCAGAAACTTCATTTCCAGGAACTCTCCA